TGAGGGAGCAGGAAAGGTGACGTTATGCTGAGACAGATGATCATGAAGCCACCAAAGACTTTTAGTGTTTGCTGGAGAGTCAAGCCCAAAGCCCAGGCTGACAGACAGAGGCAGTTTGGAGAGCAGGCATCTGTGTGCTTTCTTCTGGAGAAATACGGGATTGTGGGATATTTCAACCATCTACTCAGACAATGCAAGTTCCTTTACATTGCACATAGTTTTAGGGATAAGGAGAATTTTCTGTGCCACAGTAATGCACGTGCACACATGCGCATACACATGCATGCATGCTGTGTCTGATGTCTGGAAGTCCACACTTAGAATTGTGTTCCTTTAAGCTTAAACCCTTGATTCTTGTTGCAATACTAAGAACCTTTTGTTAGGGCAGATTTTGGTGGGGGAAAAGAATCTGAGGATCTTGGGGGTCCCAGAGTGGGCTTTGCAGAAGCCCCTTCCATACCCCACCAAGAGAGAAGTTGAGTCACGAACTGTCTAGAGCAGAAAGAAACTTTGCTTTACCAATTTGTGAAAGGTCTGCTGTCTCTGCATTTTAGGTTTCTTTTAAAACTGGAAGCGCATAGCCAGGCTCGGTGGTTCAGCCTGTAATCCTGCGCTTTTGGGAGGCTGAGGTGAGTGGATTGCCTGAGCCCGTGGGTTCGAGACCCGCCTGGGCAGGCGTAGACCTCATCTCTACAATAAATCAAAAAAAATTAGCCGGGCGTGGTAGCGCGTGCCTGTAATTCCGGCTACTCAGAAGGCTGAGGCGGAAGGATTGCCGGAGCCCAGCAGGTCGAGGCTGTGGTGGCCGGGAGCGGCCACTGCACTCCAGTCTGGGCGACAGAGTGAGACTCTAACTCAAAAAACAAACAAACAAAAAACAAAAAAAAGGAAAAAATAAAACTGGAAGTGCTATCCTATTTATAACAATAAGCCCCAAAGGCTTCGAGAAATAATCTTACAATTTATGATGGAGATGCCGATCCCTCAGAACCGGAGAGGATGCGAGCATGAGCTTTAGGAGGTGACAGAGTTGTGTGCATCTCTCTGAATTGTGTGATCTGCAGAGAGAGTCCACAGCTTTCACTACGAATCATAAAGAGGTCCTGAGCAGTTGGTGCTAGACCTGGCAGCGTAGCCTGCGCCTCTGAACCTTTCAAAGTTTAGGGTGAGCAGAGCTTTGACCAGCTCTCCAGGACACGGGAACTGGGGCAAGTCCATGAGCGCTGGGACATGCCAGCCAACCTAGACTTTGGAGGGCTCTTCCCACCCTTGTGAGTGCCGTCCCTCTGTTTTGAGTGCTAACCCTCAAATGTCTTTCTATCTCCTGGGGTTTTTAAAAAAATAGTAATTTTTTTCTGTTCATAAAATTAGAAAATATGAAACAATGTAGTGAAGAAAATAATAGTCATAATCCTATTAATCAGGTGAGTCATGATAAACATTTTGAAGTATTCCCTCCGAGGTTTTTTCTTTTTCTTTTGTCTTTTAAAAGAGAGAGTTGAGATCACAGCCTGTCTACGAATGGAGCTCTTTTCACATAACATTACATCATCATCATCTTGCTTGCCGTTGAAAAGTCTTCATAAGCATCATCTTCTGTGGCTGCACAATGTTCTATTATGTGGCTGTTCTACGGTTTACCCACCCATTCTTCTCTTAGGCATTTGCCTTGTTGCCAGTTTTTCACTTGATTAAATAACGCAGTGAGAACCATATTTAGGCAAGAAGCGGTACTTGCATTTTACATGATTTCTTTCTGATGGATTCCTGGAAGTCTCTTTTGACTTTGGAAGCTATTGTGTGTGAAGATGTTGCCGAGAACTGTCTGTAAAGGTGGATGTTGCAGCAGACTGTGGACAGAGATGTGGGGCCAGGTGACAAGGGTTCCTGCCACACACAGGACCTGCCACTAAGTGCTTTGAGCATTAGGGAGACTTAAAAAAGCAGAAGATCCACGGCAACCCCTCGGGTCCCCTCTCACTGTGGGAGCTTTTCTGTCTTCTCAATAAATCCTCCTTTTAAAAAAATTAGAAGATCTAGGCTTTGTCCTTGAAGATCTTACTGCATCACATGGAACCACACATACATAAGTAGCCTAAAGAAAGAGATGCCTAGATCTCAGAACCCTGGGGAATCCATGCATAAGTTTTAGGATGGAGTAGTTATCATTGTTTTGAGTTGGGGTCTCACTCTGTCACCCAGGCCGAGTGCAGTGGTATGATCATGACTCACTGCAGCCTCTACCTCCTGGACTCAAGTGATCCTCCCACTTCAGCCTCCCAAGTAGCTGGAACTAACAAGTGTGCACCACCATGCCTGGCAAATATTTTCATTTTTTTTAGAGAGGCAGGGTCTCACTATGTTGCTCCAAATGGTCATGAACTTGTGGGTTCAAGCAATTCTTTTGCCTCAGCTTCCCAAAGTGCTAGGATTACAGGCATGAACCACCATGCCTGACCAGGGTGGAGTAGTTGTGTGTGCACGTACTGCATTTTTCTGAAACTTTTATCAGAACCTTTTCATCTATAGAGCTGCAAAGCATGACCCATTCAATGACTGTTTAGGGTGTGTAGGGAAAGAGTGCGCATTTTCCTCTACTTATTCTTTTCTCTATATATTATTTATTTTTATAGTTTTTACAATACAAAATAAGATGAACTTTGTTTTATGTGATGTTAATATGACCGATAGTGTACACTAAAGAGATGGCAATCAGGGGTCCCCGTTTGAGGACCCTGAGGTAGGGTGGAGCAGAGGTTAGAGCCTATGCCCAACAGGCGAGAGACAGATTTTGTCACCAGTCCCTGCAGTGAGCTAACAATCCGTTTACACTGGCAGCAAGAGCCAGTGTTACATGAGCCTCATGCCTACATGATCATATTGTCAGAACATGTTACGCAGGTGTGTGGCACTTTTGGTGACACAGACCAGTGTCATCTCATTCCTCTACCAGAGCATCAGTCCTTACCTGTTTGCTAAGTGTTAAAAGAGCTTCTTACTGCTCAGGTGTGGCCTGCAGGAGGGCCAGTCTAGCTCTGCCAATATGGAAAAGGCAAGGTGGTGTGATTGTTCTCTGGGTCCCAGGCCCTTTGAGCAGGGACAGAACTAGATGTGCCCGTGGAAATTGACAGCCACCGTCTATATTTCTTTTCTCCCATCTGCATTGACCACTTCTATTGTTTGACTAGCTCTTCCAGAGGGAAAATAAGAGAGCCACGGGCCAGGCTCTGGCCTTGTGTATGGGTCCCTGCTGGACAGCATCTACAATTGCAGGACTTCTGCAAAATCCCATCTCACCTCAGCATGCGTGGATTTTGTCAGTGGAATGCCCATAATGAAGATAAGTGGGACAGGATGGCGTGTGTCTCTCATCACCCCCATTTCCCTTGGAGTCCCTCTCACATCTGTGGCTGGAGTGCCCAGGTCTCCATTAGAGGGACTAGACCACAGAGACCTGCCCTAGGCAGGCACACACCATCACACACCGTGACTCAGTAGTGCCCATGTCTGTTCATCTGTTCTATCTGGCTTATTAACAAATCCATGTAATTCTTTACTTTTTTTTTTTTTTCCTTTTTTTTCCTTCCAGTTGGCTGTTTCTCTTTGTCCAGCTGAGTTGTTTTTCTTCTTCCCTGTCTCTTGGCTTCTATGGAATAAATCTTCTCATTCCCTGTCACTCTCCTTTCCTTTGATCCTTTGTTTTCTCCAGACTCAGAACCACTTAGTCTTCTAAAGGGCTCAGAGAGGCACCTTGGTCTTTCTGTAATTTATACAGTCATCGGACCGTCTAATTCTTACTTGACCTGAACTCCACTGGTCAAAAGCAACACACCCCACCCTGAGGGCAGATGAGGGTGGGGGGAGAAACAGGCACTGCCCACCCCTCAGATGTAAGCAATATCCTCTCTTATGGAAAGAGAAAAACATTAAACAAGCACATCTGTGACCTCTGCCAGCCCTAATCCAGAAAGCAAAATAAACAAGCACGGTAACACTTAAAATACAATCATGAGGGGATGGGGGTGGGGGTAAGGAAGGACCAGAGACAGTCAAAAATTTGGACCTTCAAAGGGTATCATTAAGAAATTCTCCCTGCCACTTAATCAGGCTCACCGTGGCTGGGCTGTAAGCTTATAGATTCTATTCTGTTCAGATACAGATGCTATTCTCTCTCTATATGATGTGTATATATGGTTTTTGTTTTGTTTTCCTGGGCTTAAGTGGGCCTCCCACCTCAGGCTCCCGAGTACACTTGGAAGGCACCACCACACTCAGCAAATTTTTACATTTTTTTAGGGATGGGGTCTTGCTATGTTACTCAGGCTGGTCTTGATTTCTGGCTTCAAGCGATCCTGCCTCAGACTTCCCAAAGCCCTGGGATTACTGTACAGGCATGAGTCACTCTGCCCGGTGAATATTTCTAATGACACATTTTTAATAAAATGATATTTTGCATAGACAATAAGACATATAAAACGTTTTACATATAACTGTGAAAAGATGATGTGATATACTTTAATAGAATTCTTATATTTTATGCTTAAACAATATAAAATGTTATAGGCTTCTACGTAAGTGCCATAGATTTATATATCAAATATGATAGATTTATAGAAATAAAATATCAAATGAAGCATGTTCTACTCTCCGGGCAACTATGTTGACACATTTCTAAGGTACAGTCTTCTTAGGCATCTTAAACCTTACTTTTAAAATCAGTGCCAGCGGCCCAAGAGTAAAATTCAGTGATTCAACTTAAATATTCACAATGACCCTGAAGCACACAGGCGGTCTCTTTTTACACAGATCCGGGGTGCGGGGGGGCGTGT